TGTGCTTCCTGAATAACGGTCCGTGTGAAACAATCAGATCCCTGCGTGCGCGTAAAGTGCGCGTCATAGGAATTTAACGAGGCAGATTTTTTGCCTCGAGGAATTTTTGTAATCGAATAACTCGAGTAACTCGAGGAATCGTTTCAGCCCTACTCATCACTAATCACGCCGCCGGCCTAGATGAGGTCATTGATTATAAAGCATATTTGAGACTACACTCTTAGAAGAAATGGTTCTATTTAGAACCAGAAATGGTTCCATCCCCCGCTTCATATATGGAACTCCAAAATGGTTCTATATAGAACCATTTTATTTTGGTAAAAGGTTCTATTGGCCAAGTATGGAACCCCAGGTTTCTATATAGAACCCAGAGGAACCCTTTTTTAAGAGTCTATAGAACCTTTTACCAAAAAATGGTTCTATATAGAACCATTTTGGAGTTCCAAATACGTAGCGCTGATAGAACCTTTTCTTCTAAGAGTGTATAGACTATATGTCTGGCTATGTGAGACTATAGATTGAATTAATCCTTTTATTTGCGTGACACATTACGGTACAGAACGGCTCTTTCAGCATTATCCCTGAACATTGTATAAGCATTCGCAAGTGTGATCGCTACATGAAAATTCTTACATAAAGCCCCTTTAATTTCTTCAAGCAAACTTTGGAGTTTTCCACAGATTAGGGCACAGTGCTTGTCCCGGCAGTTCCCAGAAAAGCCAAAAGAACAGCTGGTTCGGCAGTGATCGGTGTTTCATCATCGGAGGGAAGCGTGGACTGGCACTCCTCCTCGTTTTAATCTTCTCTTCAATCACAAGTTGTTTATGTAATGTCTTAATGAGCAAAACTGGAGAGGAACGACTAGACTTTTGCCCTCCCTCTCTCTCTCTCTCTCTCTCTCTGTGTGTGTATTTCACACTCAGCCAATGAACATCTTGAGCTGATCATGCATTTCACCCCTGCCCAAGTTCTCACACTTGAAGAGAGAGAGAGAGGGAGAGAGTCAGGTGGAGTTGGTTTCTTTGCAACTAAATCTTTCCTTATTACAGCATTTTTCTACATTTCTGCCTTGCTTTGCCCTTTACTGAATGACTTCAGGTAAAGAAAAAGTGTTCACAGAGGACACACAGTGCACAGTTTACAGGTTTGAGAGTCATAACAGCATTTAAACACATGAATGTTTCCTCTACATTATTGTTCTCCGTGTGGTTGGAATTATTTTCAGAGTGAAAAAATAAAAAGGGTAATTGTGACTATAATGTGTGTAATTTTTTTACATCTGCAATTTTTATATTTCTAATCTTTCTTTTTATCTCACATTGTGACTTTATATACAGTTGCAATCTGATTTCTCATAATTGCTACTTTTTTCTTGTAATTCTGACTTTATATCTCAGTACTGTGATCCTTAGTTTATTTGGCCTCCCAAAATTATCCTCCTAAGTGTGTGTGCAGCCACACAATACACACACAATAGACGCATGTCCTCCTTCAGATAGACTGTTGCCATATCTATTTGATTTACACTTCTCAATTATTGTTTACCATTACCAAACCAACTGAGGCTTTAAATTCACAAGATAACGAGAAACTAAACAAGAAACAGGTGGGACTAATATATTTATGGAAACAAACTAGAAATGGGAACAAAAAAATGGGGTTAAAGGAGTAGTTCACTTTTAAAAAAACTTTTGCTGATAATTTACTCACCCCCATGTCATCCAAGATTTCCATGTCTTTCTTTCTTCAGTCGAAAAGAAATCAAGGTTTTTGATGAAAACATTCCAGGATTTTCTCCATATAATGGACTTCAATGGGAACCAAACGGTTCAAGGTCCAAAAGACACTTTCAGTGCAAACTGTTCAAAGGGCTTAAAACGACACCAGACGTTGATGAATAAGGGTCTGTAATCGTTTAAATAATTTTGATGAACAAGTTCGAACAGGAGAGTCACGAACGCACATCACAGAACAGAGCAAGGCGACCATTTGAGCTTATAAAATTTGTTATTTATTTATTAAATGAGCGATCATTTCGCTTGGTAAGACCTTTATTCATCGTCTGGAATCGTTTAAAGCCCTTTGAACAGTTTGCACTGAAACTCTCATTTGGACCTTGACCCGTTTGGTTCCCATTGAAGTCCATTATATGGAGAAAATCCTGGAATGTTTTCATCAAAAACCTTAATTTCTTTTCGACTGAAGAAAGAAAGACATGGACATCTTGGATGACATGGGGGTGAGTAAATTATCAGCAAAAGTTTTTTTAAAAAGTGAACTTCTCCTTTAACACAGAATTTTGATGATTATGGCTTATGAAAACCCCAACTTTCATAAGCTGTAAGCCATAATCACTAAAATTATAACATACCTGTATAAAGGCTTGAAATATCTCACTTTGTAATGAGTTTATATAATATATTTCACCTTTTTAAGTTGAATTACTGAAATAATTGAACTTTTGCACGATATTCTATAATTTTTCGAGTTTCACCAGCTCTCAGAAGAGGAGTGACAACTGTGTTTATGGCCAGAGGGAGATAGAGAGAGAGAGAATGGAAAAGAGCAAGATTCTGGCACACAGAAAAGGTTAACCAAAGAGAAGAAGACAGCGGCGAGAAAGAAAACATGGTGTGAGGCCAGCGTCTAGACTGCAACTGAAAGAAAGGTTAAACTAAGGGGGAACGAACTATTGAATTAGTTTACTTTCATCCCATAAATGTCCATCTGGTGACAGACATTTTATCTTGAAGCGTCTGGCGAGAATGGTCAACTAGAGATGAAACATTACAGCAAATATCATTTCCTCAGGACTGCCCTCTTAAGAATACTTAAACACAAAGTTTTACTACTGTCATCCCCAACATTGACTGACTTCCCTTCAACCGCCCATAAGGATGGGAGAAAAAAGAAAAGCGAGAAGCTCTTTAACAGACAGCGAGACGTCAGAGCTGTTGACAGCGTATGAACACAATGTGCTGAGGCATTTTAAAAGAAGAAAGGAAGGATTCTCTATACTAGAGAGAGAGGATGAACGACAGGCGAGTTTTGTGCCCTGACCCGTATCCCATAATGCCAAGCACAGATGGACTTGGACTTTGACAGAGACAGACCTAAGGATGTCATTCATTTCTTTGTGTTTCTTAAAGCAATAAAACAAGCCTGACTGTTAGGGTTCAAACACACCCTCACACACACACACAGTCAGATCACAATGACAGTTTTTAGTTCTTATAGCTGTGAAGTCACAGCACAGTCTATTTCTATAAGTTTACACAATACTGCTCACTTTTAGCAGATTTACACATTTATCATTATATATTTATTATCACTATATAATGATATTCATTTCATTATAGCTTTCCCAACTTAGGAGAGACTTAGGAAAGTGTGCTCATGTCCTTTCTGTTTCTTAGAGTTGTCATCTGAGATTGAATATAGAACTTTGTTAATTATTATTTATTTATTTATTTATTTATTTGTTTTTAGTAAAAATATAACCATTCCAGTGTCTTGTCTGCTGAAGCTCCACGCAAGTGTTTTTATTTATTTTATTTATATTTTATTTTTATTTTATATTATATTATATTATTATTTATTTTCCCTAAGGCACCCATGACACCTATTGATGCAGAAGTTTATTTTTTGTTTTATTTTATTTTTTATTTTATTTTATTTTATTTATTTTTTTATTATTTACTTTTTCACTAAGCAATACACTGTTTTGTCTGCTGGCACCCACAACACCTATTGATGCAGAATTTTTTTTGTTTGTTTATTTATTTTATTTTATTTTTTTATTTAATTTATTTCATTTGACTTATTTTATTTTTTATATTTATTTATTTATTTTTATTTTTTCCCTGAGCAATTCACTGTCGTCTCTGCTTTGCTGGCAACCACGGCACCTATTAAAGTAAAAGTATTATTTAATTTAATTTTATATATATATATATATATATATATATATATGTGTGTTATATATATATATATATATATTTATATTAATTTTATTTTTCACTGAGCAATCCACTGTCATGTCTGCTGGCACCCACTTCTGACCTATTGAAGAACAAGTAAATATATATATATATATATTTTTTTTTTTTTTTAACTTGTTCTTATATATATATATATATATATATATATATAAATAAGTTTTTATTTATTTTTTTCTCACTTTGCAATATTACATTTCCAGTGTGTTGTCTTCTTTGCTGGCACCCACGACACCCATTGAAGGTCCACTAAAGCTGTGGACTAAACTGATTCTGATCATATACACTGTACACACAGCCAGAAAAGACATTAAAACTGGAACTGAGTGTGAAAGAAAGTCCTTCCTCACTTCATTTCTCCTCCTTTCTCCTTCCGCAGTCATTAATGGCCTCTCCATTATTTTTGTCCTAAAGTCTGTAAGGTTCTGGGTTCAGATGAGGAGATCTGCATTGTCATGCCCGCGGTTATCACGACATTAGGAGGGGCTCCTGGACTCCGCATCGCTCCCGTGGAGACACATTGCCACAGGCCATTTGTCAATACTGCTAAAGTCAACATGTCGCTCAAGACGTTTCTCGCCGACGGTCCCGTCGGTCAACACCACACACCAAAATAGACACCCTCTCATCCGCAGTGCAAAAGGCTTGCGCAACCGTCCCGGTGTCAAGCCAACGTCCCAGTTTAGGACACACTGGAAATCCTTTTGGCCACGGCTGGCAGAGCGATGGTTGAACAAAGGACGAGGTGAAAGGAGGTTTCTCTTAAGCCTCAGCCAATCTGAAAGCTCATTTCACTGGGGGTCTGTAATACCAGGAGGTTTCTCAGTTTAGGAGGGGTGTGTGTGGGTGTGTGTTACCTCAGGTGCACTGAAGAGAAATTCTCATCCTTCATAATGTGCTGAAAAAAGAGATATTGAAAATCGTTCATCATTTATTACAGAGACATTTCAAAGTGTCCACGCTGATGATTAAAATCTCTCTCTCTCTCTCTCTGAATTGCAGTGCTGTTCAACTTGATTCCTGTGGGTCTGAGGATAGTCGCCATCCAGAGCACTAAGTCAGGACTCTACATAGGCATGAACAGCGAGGGCCACCTCTACACATCAGTAAGCACATTTCATATTCATATTCATACAAATCTTATCTCATCATGCTAAAGATGACAGCGGCCAGATCTCCACAAATGAGAAAGCTTTTACTTTTCTAAATCAATACAAGTGCAAAATATCAGCATAATTTCAGTGAGAAGATGGATTGAAAAATGAACGCGATTTGTTTGTCCATATGTTGTAATGTACAGCAGCATTGAGCTTTCACACGTTTTATTTATTATTAACATATTATGTCTTGTTTAGAAATGAATAAATTAAGCGAACAGTCTTACCAGTGATTAAAAAGTAGTGTATCTTGTTACTCGTTACTTCTTAAAAACAAAGTAATCCGTTACTTCACTTCGTTACCCCATACGGAAAGTAACTTTTTACGTTACTTTGTGCAGAACCCAATATCTGTTCCTAAATGTGTACACCTACATAAAGTTCTGCTATGCATAATGCATTTATCACAATGTTGAATATTTATGAATAAATGCCTGTTAATGGATAGGCATATGTATGGGTTAGAAAGAAAGCCCCCAAGAAAGACCAAAACACCCCCAAAAAAAATAATTTCTGAAAACAATTATATTCAGGCTGTATTCTGGGAAGTCCTGAACGGCATGGTGAAGAAAAAACAATAAAAGAAGAAACTTTTTATTTCGACATAATAAGGGGACATTATAATCTGCATTAAGCCAAATTAAGCGTTCTTATAACGTTTTTTTAATTAAACAGGTTTCTTTCATATTCTGGGCTCATCTGATTTTTTTGTACATGGTAAAGCCTACTTTATTATGATTTTAGTATCATAATGATTAATAAATGCACACACAATTATCCGTGACCATTGTTGCAGATATGTTTTGCTATGCACGTAAACAGATGCCTTTGCAGGCCTGTACGTGTTGTAGCCATTAAATAAGCGCATTTAGTTTCATATTTGTTAAAATATTATAATGTCATTTATTTTCCATCTGTGTTGATTATTAAAAGTGAACAGCATGAGTAAGATGGATGCGCAATATATCGGGAGACGTTGATTGAGTCAGGCATGATTTTGACCTCTTCATTAAGTTTTGTTTAGACGAAAGCCGTTCTTTGAAGTGAATTTCGTTTTGTATAAATTGTGTCTTAATTTTAAAATTATTAATTAGCAACCAATTGCCTGTATTTAATAAATAAAAAGCCAATCAAGCAGAAAATATAATCATGAGGCGTGCCGGCGCGGTCACTTGTTGCGCGTGAACTGGAGCGCACCTCATCATAAATGAACCGAAACTCAGCGTATGCCTCACAGACATGATAAATAAATATATCTACATATAGAAAGCTTGAAATGTCTTTAAATGAAACAATTCAAAACGAAAAGATAAAGGCTACTCTCTGATTATGTAATCCTGCTGTCAAATGACGGAGATCGCTGTTAAATCTGTCCCTGGGAAAAGTAACGTTGTGCCGTTTTGAAAACTACGTTTCGCTACCAAATTTTCAGAAGTAACGCATTAAACTACTTTTTACCTGAAAAATAGTTACATTACTGTAACACTGAGTCTTACTGACTCGAATAAAGCTAATCAATAAAGCTAATCCATGCCTTCTTAATGTTAGGATCACAAGGAAGGCAGTGCAAAGACTGTGTTTCCACAACTCAAAACGTCTGTGTTTGCGTCTGTCTCGTATTTACTACTACAGGACATCGGTGGGCGGGGCTAAAGAGGAAATGATGTAGAAGTGGGCGTCAATCTTTCGTCACACTATGACATCATAATGTGCCAAATTCCAAAACGAGGCGTTTTCTGAGCTTGGTTTCGATAAAAGCTGTTTGGGTTAACGAGTAAATGACCTCCATGTCATAAGGTCAAGGAAAATCCGATTTCTCAATTCATGACGTTTAAGCATTTTCCTATTGCTTTTATTTCATAGCGTCCCTTTGTATACACGTTTTCAAAACCCTAAAACTTCAGCTTTTGAATGAGGTCTCAGACACATTTGTGATGCTCTCTGATTATGAATGAGATGCTGCTAATGAAGTTAAGTGCTGTGAGTTTGTCCTCAGACTGTGAGTGTGAGCACTGTTGGCCTCGGGTCTCGGTGACACACTCCATTAGTCTGGCCTATTTCTCTCCAGCAGAAACACTCTGGTGAGCAAGACAAGAGATGCATTGCTTTGCAGGGTAAAGCATCAGTTCTTCGTTCTTCTTTATGCACTCACTCTCGTTTGGAGAAGAAATGAGTATTGCTTGCTTTGCTTTCATCTCTGAAGTAGATCAACACTCTTTAAGAGAGGCGAAGGCCGATGGCTCCATACAGGGCTTTGTGTAAGAATTTTAATGTTTTAATTGCGATTTTATTGCTAATATGTAGGGATGGGACGATAACCGGTTTCACGATAAACCGTGATAAAATGTACTGACGGTTAGTATTATCGTTTTAATTTAATTTAATTTAATTATCATTAAAACCGTGTTTGATTATCGCGATTTTAATAACTCACTGAATCCTGTCGGCCAGTCTGACGCAGGCGCGCAGCACGCAATATTTTTTTAAATTACTATTCGAGAAGGAATGGTGGAAGGCAGTGACCGTGCTCAGGAGGTTTTTTAGCCTTTTAAGAGGACCAAATCTGAGGTGTGGTCATATTTTGGGTTTTACAAAAGTCCTGAGGGAAACTTGATCGAGGATGGTCACCCTGTCTGCCGAACAAAAAGTCACTGCAATAGAAACACTTCAAATCTGCCGAGTCGTCTTGGTGTGATCGTCACCCGAACGCAAGGCAAGTTCATTTTGACCTCAATACCAAAACTACGTCTGGGAAACAATTGGGCACGAAATGTTGTTTTGAGTTGAAACATTTTATGTCACTCACTTGAAATAGACGTCAAGCTTCCGCGAAGAAAAGCTCGTAGCAAGTGGATTTGAGCCAAAGATGAACGAACAACTTCAAACAAGACTATTATTAAGAGTGATATTTTAAGGGATAGTAAAGTATAGATGCATCACGTATTAAACCGATTTTATTTTTACCACATAATTACGGGGACATATTGAATTGATAATGAGATTAGCTAATAAATCTTACCTGTTTATGAATTCAATTTGTAAAACAATCGTCCAGACAAGATATATCACACCAATATTATCAAACTCTGTAAGCAATAAATCAACTCTGATTTCATTTTTGCAATACAATCAAAAACCGGAGACGCAAGACGGCAAGTTGTATTTGAATGAAACAAGAGCGCGCGTCCGTTGTGATATGGATGTGCGCTGTGTAATAATGCGTTGCTATTGACGACGGGCATTATAAAGAAGCAAATGCCATAGAATAGAATCTTGCTTAAAAAACTGCATAGAGCTGCTTGTTTTATTTGTTGTTTGTTGATTTTCAATTATAAAACTTGTTGATAAAAAAATCTGTTCTTTTTGAGCACTTTCATACATTTTTAACAAAACCGTGATAATATTGATAATCACGATTATTTTGGACACTATAATCGTGATATGAAATTTTCATACCGTCCCATCCCTACTAATATGTGAGCAGCTTGTAACGAAACATAAAAAATTAGTCCTTCCTCCTAGACTTCCTAGGTTGTCTAAAAAAGCCTATAGACCAATTTCAAGCCGACGTCACGGCGCTAGCTGGAGGCAAAACAAAGAAAAACTGGAGGCGGCCAATACAAACCAGCACAGATTCGGATACATAATAAGAAGCTTAAATTATTATTGTTATTTAAATGTCATCTTGTTGTGTTGTCTGGTGCAAGAATTGACGAAAAATTAATATGCTGTATCTGGAATTTTTATTTCTAGAAAATATTCACTTCAATAAAATTGACTGTCGTCTTGGCGCTAGCTCGGCAGAACTGTTTATCGTACACACAGGTCTCGCTATGGTAGCGTTAGCGTTAATCCTGTCAGATCGTCCATCCATCGACAGCGCGTACAGTATGGGTCGGCCAATCTGGTTCAATTCGTTAAAATGAACTTTTTTTCGTGTTCCTGGACAGTGATTTTCTGAAAATCTGAAGCTCAGTGTGATGCTTTGCTAGCCATACTGGAGCCACGTTAAAAACAAGACCACCAATATCCGTGAACCAATTGATCCTGAACAGTTCTGGATTGTGTTAAAAAAACAGGCAATGTTTTTTTTTAACGTGCGAACTCAGTGTGCAAGGACCTTTAGGCAAGTGGTTTGTTGTGTGTGTGTGTGTGTGTGTGTGTGTGTTGCATAAGAGTATGGTTCTGTCACAAATGCGTGTCTGTGTGCGTGTGTTGTAGGCCTGAACACATGGCTTCTCTCTGTCACACATATCTGGCCTAAACTCTGAGCTTATTAATAATTTATGTTTTCCAGTGGCTGACAAACTTTCTCCAGTCATTGTTAAAAACAAGCTAACAAAACTTGCAAACTAGCCTTAGGAAAGCAGCCAGAGGGATCGTTCTGCCTCCACCTAAGCTCCGCCCTCAAAAAACGTCACCATGTTTACCAACTGAAAATTGGTCTATAGACTCATTTGTAAGAGAAGGACGTTTTTGCCAAAAGACTGAGACGTTTACACTGCCGAGAGACTTATAACATACTTGCGAATGCTTATACAATGTTCAGGGATAATGCTGAAAGAGCCATTCTGTACTGTAATGTCAATGTGTCACGCAAATAAAAGGATTAATTCAAACTATAGTCTCACATAGCCAGACCTATATAGTCTATAGTCTCAAATATACTTTATAATCAATGACCTCATCTGTCGATATGATGAATTTTTACTTTCTTTTCACTTCTGAGCAATGAACGAAAAATAACTTTGCAGTGCATCGTGTGTCGAGTCACGTTCAGTCTGGTGTCGCTAAAAATATCCTAAACCATTTCAAAATGATTTATATCAATTATCATATAAATGACAAGTGTCCCTCAGTTTTGAACTCAATAAGTGACACTATTTCCTATACGTCCCTCTCACGGATCCTTCTCTCACACACTGAAGCACAAACGCACTTTTTATCTC